TTGTTGGCTCTTTAATAAAGAAGCTTTCAATTGACGTAAATACTTCTTTTGGCAAATGAATATGCGATAAACAACAGCGTGTTGAAATCGTCCATTTTTGACTTTTTTTTTGTGTTTTTTTTAACAGCTTTATTGGACATACATATAAAAGGTTACATATTATTATACAAACAAAGAAAATTACAGGGTATACGTCCAATGGGGCTAGCGCAAACGGGACAACAAGACCCATGCAGGGCGCCACCCCTAAACTAAACTAGTGAAAACAAACTTATTTACTATACAGAATATACATATATAACTTAGGACTTAAGTACGGTGACAAGGGCAGTCTCTTATGAGCGACCAAGTACATGTCATATCTACATTAAAAGTACTGTTCACCAAGGCGGTGTATGTCTTGTGCAAAAAGCTTTTAAAAATATTTACATTGGCAAACTTTTCAGGAGAGGCTATTTTACATATATAGTCCCAAGGCTTTACTATTCTATTAAAAAACGATGCCTGAAAGGTGGATGTTTTACAGCAGGAGTGTTTTAACATTAGGGCTGGATTTTGTGCGCGAGATCGATTGTGCTCTACGAAGGTTAAAAGTTGATTAATGTTTAAATCGGTATGACCAAAAATACATTTATAAACCAACACAAGATATCTGATTCCTCGATCAGTGGCAATAGGTTTAGAGATTTCAGCCTGTCTTCATATGACAGCTCACCAACTTTAGTTCTTAGAATCCATCGAGTTGCCCGTCTCTGTACTTGTTCTAAGAGAATCTGCAAGAATCTGTTTTGCAAGTCAAACGCTGTTAATTTACATACCGTCGAAGTAAATAATTTAATCAAGTATTCTAAGTATTTTACCTTTTGAGAAGAAGATATATTCTTGAATGGAGACTTTTTGCCTTGCTAAGTTTAAAATTGGTCCAAAAATCCCGATATATTTGTGAAATATCATCATATACAGGTATTTTGAGATATAATTTTGTTGTCAGTTGCATGATAACTTCAGATCACTGTTCAATATTGTCTACTTTTAATAGCGCTAGCATACAAATCGATCAGCTATGTCAGGATCATAATTGTTACTAAATTTACCAAAATAATTAGAACTACAATTGCTGTTTTCAGAGGTTTTGTTCCATTTTGTCCATTTTAATGTACCATTTTATATCGACTAATGTTTACGAATACGTAAGTTAATTATTTAAGCAGCTGTTAGCGTGCGTGTACATGAAATGAACGTTTATAATGTTTATCCATATAAGGAGTTTTTATTTTTAGTTTACCAGCTAGCCCTTATATTTGAATAGCCAAATTCATATTAGGGACGCGAAACTCGTCTTACACGGGAAACTCGTCTGTGAAAACCCGTCTGAATATGATTTTGGGACGGATAAATTCAAATTTAAGACGAGTTTCCCGTCTAGATTAGATTTCGGTCTGACTTTCCCATCCGCTTAGACCGGTAAGTTAGACGGGAAAGTTTGTACGCGAAACTTGTCTGTTCCCGGATTCATATTAGACAAGTTTCCCGTCTAATACGAGTTTCCCGTCTCTAATATGAATTCGGCTAATGTCTGCTAAAACTGCAAGGTTTACACTACTGATCTCATTAAAATCCCACAGACCACAACGATTATACGTATTGATTGTTTCTTGAGGATAGTAGACGCGTACACATGCATGTTGTGCTGGCCTCAGAATGACGAAACGTAACAAAGCTTTACACTAACCTTATTCCGAACACCAACTTTATAACTTAGCCCTAATCCCTACCATAATCCTGGCTCGTTATTAAATAACATACCGTAGTAAATAATTTAATCACCATTTCTTAGTCTTTTACTTTTTCGGGACAAAAAAACTACTTAAAAAAGACCAGGGCCAAAAGCGCCAGGGCCGCACATGCAGGGGGAGAAAGGGGGGGGGGAGATAGCAATTTTCTCCGCGACCCCAGCTCAAGGAGGGCCGGCAAATACAAATTTGCAAGGGATAAAAAGTTTGTCAACGGAGGGGAGGATAATTGTGGTTCACCGGGGCCCCAAAGGTATAATTGGCCCTGGGCCCCCATATTTCATTCTCCGACGGGGGGAATTACCAACAAGTGACCAGGGCCGGATTAACGTCGCGCGAGGCTCATGGCAGATTTTAGCGCGAGCCCACACACCCCTCCCTCCGCCTTGTTATAAAAACCTTTGAATTTAAAGAGACACAAAATTGTTAAATACTGATTTTTTTCCAATATTTCAATTTATTGGCATCAATTATAAACAAGACAATGGCCTGCCTGGCCCAGTTGTTGGGTCAACATGTATAAACAGGATCATAATATAACAGCTCAACGCGACTGGATATTATATGCACACGAGTATTGCATATTTTTCCGGGGCCGTGCTGGGGCCAACTGCCAAGCCTAGGGGCCCTAAATACGCGTGGTCCGTAAATTCGCGAGGCACCTAAAATGGGTGTGTCTCAATAGAAAATGGCTGTGTTCTCGTAAAAATGGGCATGGCACAGTGAAGCGCAAGGCCCCCATAAGCGCGAGGCCCGAGGCATTTGCTGCATCTGACATGTGGTTAATCCGGCGTTAAACGAGCAACCAAAGCTTTCATTTTTTTAAACGCGACGTGTGGTGAGACAACATTAATTTCTGGTGTCGCACTGGGCTAACATATCTCAATGCCGTATTTTTGGGTACTAGTACTTGTGGAATATCATAAGACTAATAGACAATAATGTATCAAAATAAACTGTAATTTTTCTGATTATTTTAACTGTGCATCAAAGTGAACACACATTAAAAAAATTATTTTAAACTATTTGGTATAATTTGAGTTTGAGGTGGTAGAATATATAATAAAATAACAAATCCTTGTATGGATAAATGTTCATTTCACACGCACGCTATTAACAGCTTCTTAATAATTAACTTATGTATTCGTAAACATTTATACTCGATGGTCGATATGTAAATGGTACATTATATGGATCAAACTGGAACAAAACAAAAATTGAAGTTCTAATTTTGGGAAATTTATATATAAATAAATTATATAAACCCTAAACAGCTCATCGATTTGTATGTTAGCGCTATTAAAAGTAGACAATATTGAACAGTGATCTGAAGTTATCATGCAACTGACAACAATGTTATATCTCAAAATACTTGTATATGATGATATTTTACAAATATATCGGAGTTTTTGGACCAATTTTAAACTTAGCAAGGCCACTCAAGGATATATCTTCTTCTCAAAAGGTAAAATAGTTAGAAAACTTGATTAAATTGTTTACTTCGACGGTATGTAAATTAACAAGGTTTTTACTTGCAAAACGTCAAAAACGGACGATTTCAACACGCTGTCGTTTATCGCGTATTCATTTGCCAAAAGAAGTATTTACGTCAATTGAAAGTTTGTTTATTAAGGAGCCAACAAGTAGAAGCTTGATCGATTTGGAGCTTTATCACATGGTGAAAATCGGTTTTGTTAAGAGGGTATCGTAAATGATGTAAGATAGTGTGCTCCAAAACTACGATTATTTCTATTCCTAAAAATAACTCCGATTTCCTGTAACTCACGTACCCGGTCCTTTGAATAACTGAAAACAAAATTTTTAGGGTTTTATATCGATTAGAAACGGTTGTCGTCGTGAAATTTGTCGTCGTGAAATTTGTCGGTAAAATCAGCGCATATTTTCCCAGACAAAATGGCGATTTAGGGTGGTCATGTTAAAACAGCATTTTCTCAAAGTTAAAAAAGCATTTCACCTAAAAAAATATATGGTGCATTTTCCAATATAATAAGGTATATCTGGGCAAAATTTGAGCAAAATCGATATTTCAGTCGTGGCCGCGAAATATCTCATATGTTCGATTTTTACTGACATTCACTCTTAAACTTTTAGTTGATAGTTCTGTAATCTTTTACAAAGTCAAGTGGTCCAAATGTTCACGTTGCTTTTATTACATAGTGAACAATGAAACAGTTTAATCAAGAATTTTCCACATTTCCATGGCTACTGTGGGCTCTGTTATACTCTCTGCATGCTGATTTACACTTCTTTAGGAGTTCTGTGCTGGGTTTGAATTTGTGGCAGGGCATCAAGCTTGTAGGTTTGTTCATCTTGATTGTCATAATGGCACTAAGCAACATTTCAAGATCTAAATTGGACCGAAAATCAGTCTTATTTTTTCTAATAATAGAAAAAACTCGTTCCTCAGCTGCATTGCTGTGCGGGATTGTTAGGACAGACAATGTAACTTTACTAAGATTTGGCAGTTTATCTCAAAGGTATCCCCAAATCATATCCATATGATGATATGTTAATGTTTCACCACCATCAACATTGGTTTTCTCTGTAACCACAGACTCCTTCCATATGTGTTCAGGAATATCTGTCTCAGCCATTGCCTGGTAAACAAGAAACTCCTCCTCTAAAATATCCATTGGCCGAGGATCATTGATTAAATCACTGTGAATGTGTTTAAGAGCAGAAAGGACTTCTTCAACATTGTCCATGCTGCATTGATTTCTTTTCTTGAAATCAACGAAAATACAGTTTTTCAGCAAGGTGTTGTTGAGTGGCAACCATTTAGTGCAATATGCAAAGGCTGTACTATAGAACTCCCTGACACCATCATAAAATTTGTCAATACTCTGAAGATTGATGTCTCCTTCATCCAAAAGACTTCTCATTTTTCTTACTAGTGATTTCATAGATCCTTCATTTTGTTTATGTGCTATTACCTTCAATGGTTTTACAAACTTTGATGCTAACTTGCTCATAAATACTTCCATTTGTTCATTCATCAAGTAGAGCAGAGGATCTTCCCTTTGCAAGAACCTGTTGAAGTTGGTGAACATGGCAATTACAGATTGAAAAAAAGAGATACAGTTCGCTCATGGAGTCATTGAAGGCAGCATTGTGGCGTTGAAATCTGTTGTCATGTTCATTTTCTTAGCAAAAATATGATTTCAGAGCAACATATTTCTTCAGCTCCCGATCCAGGCAACGCTCTAGGCAAAGCCATCTGACAGAGATATACTTCACCACAGCCTCATACTCTGTGTCACAAAATTCAAAATATTCCTTTAATGCTCCTTTTCTCATGGTAGACTTATCGAACCAGTAATACAAGTCCACGCAATTATCTTCAATGTGAAAACCTGTGACAGTTCCAAAGGCATTCGCCGCTTTACCTGCTGCATTGTGAAGCATATGGCAGGGGCAACCTACCACAACAGCCTTGGGCTCTTTTGCCAAAACTTGACTTTTAATGTTCACATTGGTGTTATCTACCCCAAGTCCTGTCACAAAACTCCAATGGATTTCATATTTATCAAAAATAGAATCAACATGTTCAAAAATAGTTGCAGCTGTCCCACTTAAACGTCCTTCAATGAGATTTATGTCAAAAAGCTTGGTCATGACTCTGTTAAACTCATCATCATATATACGCACTGTGATCGGATACATTTTTGCAATACCATTGTCATTACTTCCATCAATCATGATGCTAAATGGAGAGTTCTTCATATAATTTACCAGTTCTATTTTGAAATCTGCTCCTATACAATTAACAATGGCAGATGTTTTGGTTCGCCCACAAGAAAACTTTTCAGCTGCAGCACTGCCATGAAACTCTGATTTGATAATTGGAGTCAGGTGGTCTGACAAGTTGAAAAATGTATTGTGGTGGACTATCATCAGGGCCATCTTTACCTCTGCCTGAATCGATGGATGAACTACTATTGATGGATCATCACGCTTCTTTAAAAACTGTCTTAATGATGAACTTGTTGCTGCTTTTTCATTTGATTTGTGTTTTTGGGATTCTAAAAGTAAATGGAGCAAATTATATGTAGTGTACATGTACTAATTGAGGGCTGAGGCAGAAAGGATTATCTGAAAGTCAAATTTAGTTTTTTGAAAGTCAAAGAAGCTATTATAAAATTCATCAATAATTCAATAAATTAAATGTAAGTGTATCTTATAAAGAATAATTATAATCATTGACATTGAAACTTACTTGAGTGAGTAGAAACATCATTGATGCCTCCTTGAGAGCAGAACAAATTAACATTACAGGCACTGCAGAAGAACTTGTATTCCTTGTCTTTAACATACTGACTGCAAGGCTTAACAAATGGAAACTTATTTACCCACTCTTTGCAATAGCGTGTCTTGTATTTCTTTTTTCTTTTTTTTTTGTCTTGTTGATTGTCACTACGTTCTTTGCCGCTTACTTTATGGGAACAACTTGTCTTCTCCACATTATCATCAGGATCTTGATCACTAACAGACCGCTCACTATCAATATTTGAATCATATTCAGATGATTCAGTTTCATGAAGTCTTTTTTCCACCATATATTTTTTATTCTCGAGCCACTGGAGACTGGAGCCCCTGTAGTTAGTTTAAACCAGGTTTAAACAAAATATATCTTAAACTAATTTGTCAGCTGACGCAAAATTGTGCGGGCGCGGAAAAATAATGCACTTCAACTATGACTTCGTTGTTTTGTTTTGAAAGCTTCTATCGGTTTTAATACAATTTTACAAATAAGCTTATCACCATATTAAAGCATTTGATCTGGTATTTGATAGTAAAATAAGCAAGGAAGATCTGTTTCATGTTGCTAAGAATAGGTTTGTGATTTTTTTCCTGTCTCTGTAATATTCTTGTAAAATCGGGAGAATTTGTTAAAAACCGGGAGATGAGACGACTTTTCAGGAGACTCCTGGAAAAATCGGGAGAGTTGGAATGTCTGTATGTGTCAACATTAAACATACACACATTACATATACACACACACACATACATATACACATTTACCATATACACACTTAACACACATGATTTTTGTCATGGAAATTGGTCTCGGGATTAAACAATCCAAACATGTGCATACTACAGGGTGAGCCACCCCAAATTCTTCACCTGAAATCATTTCAGGTCACTCAGGGTAGGTCCCAGTAAAGTGCTTGGACAAGTGTAGGTTTGTAATGTAAACACAACAAGACCTATCCCAGTTGTTTATGTGCTTGCTCCTAAATCCTGTATATGGCCATTGGTTCAGCCAAGTTAGAAAGGGCATATGTTTTACACAACTTGACTGAATGAGATATACCTTATCAACATGCTATGCAAACAACAACCCCTGTAACATTTAAAGTCTTGAGAATTTTATTTATTTTGCTCATAACATAAACTACTAGTATTTACATTCAAAGGAATCGAGAGCTATAGCAATATTTATCCAAATTTAATACTCTTGTGGGTTTTTATTTATAGACCCATGCACTCACCCACAGCTGAACTTCTCAACAAGCTAGGTACATTGCCACAAATTAACATCTAAGCCCATTAAGTTCCACTGCACCTTACTGGGGCTATGGTGGTGTGCTGATTGCACCACCGACTTTGGTAGTGCAATTGTCAGAGCAAGGACTTTTTACCTCTGAGATTGTTTGTTCAATTGTGACCACTTCAATGACACTTATGTGAAAAGAGTCATGCAGTCAACACTCTGACAAAAGTTGTGGGTTTTCTCCAGGAACTCCAGTATTCTATAGAGATAATGTTAACAGGGTGGCTTGGGATTGGCCTCCAACTCACCCTCGATAAGGTGGCTGCCAGAGGCACCCTCAGAAAGCCTTTTACTCAATCAAATTGTGCTATGTTGAACTGTACCAGCTACAGAGAAAATATACATTTCATGGGTTGCAAATATAATATTATATCTATATTCATATCACATGTAGTTGAAGATCTTTTGGAATTCAAGAACATTGGTGACAAATGTCAAACTGCACACAATACACTGAAAAACAAAAATATTCAAATCACTTCATGGCAAATTTAATATACATGTATCAAGCAGTAGTCATAGTAGTGACAGCACTACTGGGCTCTGTATCAATTCAGTGATTGTTTGCTGAAAATAAACTATTCAAGTATTTACAACTTTTAGAATTGTATTGTATAAAGACATTTGATCAGCAAATCTCTTTGGCTGGAACTCGACATGGGCTTTTGATTCTGGTGTTAAATTATTCAAGGTTAAATTATTCTTTCTCCTTTTGTGGGGAGCTTACAAATTCTTTTAAAATATTAAACCTATTTCTTGTAGTCATCTTGACCAAGATTTATACAATGATGCACGCATAATATACAGAGAATAATGAAATCTCAAGGCAAACCAATACAAACACTCACCTCTAACATTCATTTCTTGATAATTCCTTGATAATTCCTTCAGCGATTGTTCCAGGTTATCCATAAGCACATGTAAATATAATATTCAGCACCAAAAACGCCAAAAATAATTGAAAAGGCATGAGTAAAAAGCTGAATGGTTCGACTCTTCAGATATCGTATTTCTGAAGAGTCATATTTACATATTCTGCCAGGTGCTGCAGAATCCCGTCGTGTCCTGACCTAGCACCCCCGCGTGCTTGCTCATCTTAGCCACTGATCTATATAAAAACACTGTAGTGTTGCTATTTTTAGTACGTTATTTGCACCTGGGTACGAGGCTGATTCTGTAATACATTGAATGACATTGGGTGTGTAGTGAATTATTTAATGCTAAAGCTTGACAAAGCAGCATACGCTCCACAACAGCCCAAGGTGCAGGGAAACTGTTTGGTTGGCATATACCACTCGAACTCGTGGGAACGGAATAAAAAATGTGTACTGGATTCACTAAAGGTTACCTCTGGTAAAATAAGAGTTGTTGTTGCATCATCAGCCCTCAGTATGGGAGTAAATTTTCCCAGCATAAGATATATCATAAACTTTGGACCAGCAAGAAATATTCTTGAACAGCATCAAGAAATTGGTAGAGCTGGCAGAGATGGACTACAAAGCCATGCCAGAATTATTTATCATGGCCAGCAACTCTCATACTGTGAAAGACACTGTGTAAAGACAGAAAGTTGTTTGTGTGTTGCTGCCTACAAAGTTCTCAACGATAGAATACAGCCTTTGCAACAACCACATTTATGTTGTAAGAACTGTTTAGCATTACGTAATTGCCAGGAAGAACAATGACTATTTATTTCCCCCGAATTTGAGAGAGATGCCCCCCTGTTATCTGAACTGTACAAAGTGCCAGACCTGTAAGTAATGAAGATATGTCAGATCTTAAAGGAGCACTTGATGAAATCAAGCATTCTCTCACACAAGGCAGTCATTTATTGGACAATTTTTCAGGACACTGTTTTTCACCTCATTTAGTGGATGATGTAGTCAAGAACTGTTCCAGAATATTTACCATAGGTGACATACTTGATATTTGCCCTGTATTCGCATTTGAAAATGCTATCAAAGTACTGGAGGTTATTCAAGAAATTTTTTTTGGACATCCCAAACTTTGATTACACAATGGAACTGCTAATAGGAAGCCAAAGCAAGGTAAGCAAGGAAACATATTTGTGGGAATTGGATGAAGCACTGAAGGATGTAAATGTACATAATGAATTGTCCTCAGACAATGATGATGATCTTCCACATGTTTGACAGTTTTTGTTCCATGTAATATACTTGTACAGTCTATATTGATAAATGCAATGGACGAATTTTCTGGGGGGTGTAGTGGGGTGTGCACTGCAATAAAAATATTTTGCATTGGGATAAATTACAGTAGTGTGATTGAAATAAAGATTTTGAACTAGGTACAGTTATATACTAAAAACAATGATTTTGAACTGCATAAAAGGAAATAAATTTTGGAAATAAATTTTTTTTTGAATATTTTTTTCATGGTTTTGGCGATTTTTTGCTGGGCGATTTGCAGTAGAGTCCCGACATCAATATTAGAGACCTTAAGATCGAGGACGGCGGCAGATGACGACGACGGCATTCTAAGTCCAAGGACTGGAACGAGACTACGGTTCTTGCGCCAAATTTGAAGCCTTAAGATATTGCAAAACAAAGATTACAGAACGTGAGACCAACTAATTCAATGGCATCTTTTAAACACACTCGAGGGCTTCTACTGGAAAGTTTTGATGAAGGCGTAATCGATGAAGATGAATTTTTACTTCTCCATGAGCAATACTTCTCTAAAAACCCAGAGTTTTCTTATAAACATGTCGGTGAATTTAACTTCAATGAGATGGATGACTTTGAATGCATGGCTGAATTTCGATGCAGGAAAAGCGATATAGAAATGCTTGGCAATTATTAAATCTTCCGCCAAAATTTGTCTGCCCACAAGGATCAGTATGTAGTGGCATCGAGGGCTTGTGTATATGCTTGAAACGACTGGCATATCCATGTCGCTATTCTGATCTTATATACCGGTTTGGAAAACCACCTCCCGTATTGAGTATGATTCATAATGAAGTAGATGATTTTATTTACAACGAACATGGTCATTTAGTTACCAGATGGAACCAGCATTCAATTCTCAGTCCCAGAAATCTTCAAAAATATGCAGATGCAATCCACGCTAAAGGGGCAGCTCTAGATAACTGTTTTGGTTTTGTGGATGGAACTGTAAGACCTATTTGTCGTCCCAAAAAGTTGCAGAGATCAGTGTATAATGGACACAAACGTGTTCACGCCATTAAGTTTCAGTCAGTTTCATTGCCGAATGGATTGATTGGTCATTTGTACAGACCTGTAGGTATGAAGAATAGGTTTTTCTTTATATTTTTGTATATTTTCTACTGCAAATGTGCATCATATGAAGTGAAATGTCCTACAATTAGCCAAAATGTTTTATATGTACCTTTATGTAATCCATAATAGAGCTCTCACACTCCTGAAAGTAAGCAAACTATTTGACATTTGGGTCATGCCAATTTTCACAACCCCAGACATTCATCTCTGTCTTTTAATATTGATGTATTTGATATATTAATTGCATACACATATGAAATTTTTAGTTCACCATTTGATGCTGGATTTTTTATATGGTTTTAGAGGGAAAGAGGCATGATGCATCTATGCTTGCGGAGTCTGGCCTTCTTGCTGACCTGGAAAGATTTGCCTTCTCAGAGGAAGGGCAACCAATGTGCATTTATGGGGACCCAGCCTATCCCTCGACGAGTTCACCTCCAGGCCCCTTTTAGGGGTGCAGTGCTTGCAGTTGACATGCAAGACTTTAACAAATCCATGAGCTCTTTAAGTGTGTCTGTAGAGTGGTTATTTGGAGACATAGACAACAGATTCAAATTTATGGATTTCAAGAAAAAATTGAAAGTGGCCCTCAGTCCTGTTGGAAAAGTGTACATTACAAGTGCAATCCTTAGTAATTCATTGACATGTATGTATGGTAACACAACATCTAAATTCTTTGGAGTTGAGCCTCCAACTCTACAAGAATATTTATATGAATATCATTAACAAAAATGAAAATGCAATATTAACAATAAAAACAATCTATGCTATGTTGTGTTTACATTACACAGGCCTAGTTAACCAACTAGAAATTAATGGCAAATGCTACTGTGTTTATAGAGCATGAAAAACCTGAGAAACTTGCTGTTTATAACAGTAAATAGTGTTCAGCAAATGCAACAAACATAACTTAAAACAAAACTAATGGAGTTTTAAAGTAAATGTACTTAAAAACAACACATGAGATACCACCAAAGTGACATTTAGAAAGTATCATTTAGACCCAAGTTTTGAAATAACAGCCATCATAAGTTGATTTTGTTGCTGCTGTTGTTGCATAATCATAGCTTGAAATTGCTGTTGCATGGCCATTTTCATGAACTCCTCATGTTTGTTTCTTTCTTCCTTTTGCTTCTGTTCTTCGAAAGCCCTGTCCTCCATTCTAAACTTAGCCATCAACTCATTTTTTTCACGCAGGTACTGTAGGGTCTCACTCCCATTAGACCTTTTCCTTTTAGTAATTTTCTGCTCTTGACCTGTGTTTTCTTTCCGTCGTTTGGTCTCTCCTAGTTTTTACATAGCTTGCACGCGTATATTATTTGCATTTTCCTTATCTGTATCTGCTTTCTTTTTGTGTTCTTCATCGTTCAACCGTTGTTGTTCTGTTGAATCATCTTCAATCTGAATAAGCTCTTCAATCATATCCTCAACTTCGGACATGTCAGTATCTATTCCAGAAGCTTTTTTGTCACTACTTAACTTTTTTCTAAGCTTACTCTACAAAAGGTTGTACCGATCTCGAACTGCACGTTGTTCCAAATCAGTTTTGAACTTTGGTTCTTTGATACATGCCAGGTTTGTTGCAATTTCTAACCATATATGACCACGTTGAGTTGAACTTTTCTTAAATTGAAATGGATTTTTAACCATAATTTCTCTGCATAATAATATGTCATGGTAATCGGTCCAAACCATTGCATTCCTAAAATATAATAAAGTTAATAACAAAAATGTCAAGTTCAAAAGTGTATAGACACCCTTGCCTTGTTTACATATTGCTTACATGTAAAAGTTTTCAAAACGCTCCCAAGATAGCTTTGTTATTGTTGAGATACAATTGAGAACAAAAAAAATTGTATATGCCAGCAAACAGTAAATAATGCAATAGGTATAGCTATGAAGTTGACTTATAAATCTTTATAAATACAAATATACATAAATAACCATATAATAATAAAATGTTAAACTGACAAGAACTCTTTATAGCTTATGATGCCTCGTTGCAAGCAGGTGACTGTTATACCATTAAATAGCCTTCTTCTTTAAAGTACAACTAGCGTTGACACAAACAACAACAGTCAACAAATGACAAAATACATATTTCGTGATTACAATTCGTTTGTTCTGCACAAAATGTATTCATGCACAACACTTTGTGAGTAATAAAAATAAAAAAATTAAAGAATATACTCAATCAGGCACTTACTGAGCATGTTTCCCTTGCCCTTGCAGCACTTCGAGTCCTTCGACCGACATATTGGATTTTGGTACCTATTTTAAAAATGTCGAAATTAACATATTTTTTTAATATAAACGAGTCCAGGTTTTCTCTCATCTTTAAATAAGCTTTATTTATTCTCCTGAAAGAAGTTTTATCTGTATATCAAGCACAGTAGAGTAGAAAATATCAAAAGAAACTCACGTTTTCTCCAGGACGGCAAACCAGCTAGTCAGACGTATTCCACGGCAGACGACGGGGAGTAGCGCATGCGCATAACAGCAAAAGGTGAAAAAACTACTTCTGGTGCCCCGTCCTCTCTGCCGCAGTTGTCGATCTTAAGGTCTCTATTAACTAGAGATGCAAATTTCCTATGGACGAATTTAGGCAATTTGGTTCAATAATTAGTGTGACAACAGATGCCAATTTTGGCACACTGTACGAGCAGCCCACAACCACCTGGAGAAAAAATTGGGTCGCACGGTCATTCGCGTTGAAAAAATAATAGGGTCGGCAGAAAGGGTCGGTCGGGAACCAGAACCACAGGGGTTTTTTTACGCCTTATGTCTTCTACTGTAAGTACATTACTGTATGGTAAAACCAAATGGAAAATTTTGGTTGTTTAATTAAGATTTTCAATAATCTCAAATACTTTATTCGTTTTTTTGCTACCAATTTCATATAGTTTTATATACATATTGCTAATTCATTAACCCTTCAATCAGCACTGCCCCCTAATGTGCCCTCTGTCTAACCCCAGATGATTTACCTTTCAATGGGAGAGTGCTGCCACTCAAATGATTAATAACGAGTTGCAATAATTCTTTACAAGAATAATTAATATAAACAATTTTTTACATTACACTTTTTCAAGTATCTAGACAGCCACTCTACCCATCAAGCTATCAAGTCAACAGGTATAATTGGTAAGCTATTCTTATCCAATTTAAGTGAACAAAACTGTGCGTCCTCTACGACTAGTGTTAAGTCATTAGAAAAATATTTTGTGCACCTAAATACAGTTCACTTAGTGTCCATTTCCTTTTATCCTTATCATATTATCATGTATAATGCATTTAACACAATTTTAATGAAAACAAAATCCATTAATTGTAAATGTAGAAAGCATCCACATGCACCTCCCCCACATAGGAAATTAGAGTGCTAATGTGCTAATGTGCAGTAGCACATTTGAAAATAATCAGACAAATATTATATACAGGAGGAGAGTGTATATCTTTCCTGGAACATAAAATTATGCATAAAATGTTAGCAGTAATTAGCAGCTGTAACAAATTAGCTGTCTAAGTTAGCTAGATAAATTGACTTCCAGTTGCTGATGTTATCCCTCATCCATCTATGTAAATCTCTGTAGTCCATGCATGGCAAAAGGTTTGACCTGAAATTGGAAAAGGATGGATGACCTTCTCTTCCTGGTGTGTTGGTAAACACTTTTTTAATAGTCGAGTCTTTAACAATCTGGTAAACAGCCTGTTCCTTCTTTGGCACTGCACGATGGGATTTCCGTTCTATTACTTTACAATCCTTGTCAACAGACTGCATGATACACTCGACTGAATCTAGTGTTCCAGCCAAACGAGCTGCATTTTTCTCATTCAGGTTTGGTCCTAGGGCCCTCCACATTTTCTTCAGCTGCTTGTTTTGATGCTCTTTTTTAAGGTCAAGGGGAATATCCTTTCCTTTGCCTCCATGATTATTATAAAACCAGTTCCACTTTAATCTGTTTGCCTCATACTCAGAAAAAATTGAACATATCTTATCAAGATACAGGAGGGTAGCATATGCATACTTTGTGTGTCCATTAGCTTTGTATAAGAGTAGAAATAGCTTGTATATTTCAAACAACTGCTGCCCATCGCCTTCTTTTACAGCATCTTCAAATGCCATAAGAATGAGACCAAACATCAATTTGACTTGGTGATAATTGAACATAAAGTCCTCCTCAAACCTCGTGGTAATCTCTTGCTCAATTGGTGGTGCATCAAAATTACCATTTGGATGAAATTGCCTTTCATGTCTATTAAAATATGTATAACTGGAGTTAAATAAACTGCACAATAGCATTAAAATAATAAAGTATGGTGCAATGTGACTCAATAGGTCTTAATAGGCAATTACCTCCTCTTGACAAGTAAAATAATAAAGTAGGGAGCATTCTGGTGCATTACACCTATTAATTGTTTAATTACGCATACCAAATGTAGCTGTTACAGAATCCAGTACCTTTTTTGTGTTTGCTTTGTACTAAACACTAGTCCACAGGAAGGAAACTGGCAATAATAGTAACCAAACTTATCCATTTCATCTTCTACATAAACCTCCATTTTTTAAATCATGATTCGTTACTTCATGCCTAAAAAACAAGAATAATAACATATAGTACTATAGTTCATACAGTGATTGCAAAATGTGTTTGGAAAGAGGGGGTTGAGGGAAACACAAGTGAGCACACCCTATTACGATCACATTATTTTAACCATATACATCGATGGAATTTTTCTTTCAATTGATAATTCCCCTTATTACATTTTCGTAGTGCTTTGCATTGTGGTTATAGTGGTATCACTGATAAAGATAGCGGCCTCAAATTAAAATATTGAATGTTTTTGCGAATATTTTGCTGTTGGCTATCATGCACATGCAAGACCCGAGTCAGGACAAAAAATAAGCCATCTTGAATATCAGTGATACCACTATAACCACAATGCAAAGCATAACGAAAACGTAATAAGGGGAATATAGTATTGGCAAAAGTTAAAGGGGGATGCTGCCACCCACTACCACGTCCAAGATCTGCAGTCCGTTTTGTGCTCTGTTAAACCCATTGAGTGGCAACACTATCCTCTTCACTATTAAAATTGTCTGGTATTAGACAGAGTGAAATAATATATTTGTATGGCACATCTGAGCACATCGCCACAAAGGGTTGAAATGATTCATAACATGACTGAATAATAATATTTAATAGAATAACATATTCCTGTAAGTATAGGAAAACTATAAATCAAAAATTGAATTGTGTAAATGTATCTTAATATCATATAATATTTAACTATTCTTTTTCCTTTCTCTTAAAAGTACTTGAACTGATGCTGCATATCATTTTCATTGCTAATTAGTTTAAATTTATAACCTAGCGGCCTAAAACAAAAGCCATATGGTTTCTAGTAGGCTTCTAGCCCATCTCTTGTAAATAGTTTATTTCTTTTATGTGTAATTTCAACATCTTGGGCGAATCAGTAAATAAAAAATTATTGTTTGAAAATACACACCTGACTCTCCTTGAATGTATTGTGTATGTGTTGTTACATTCACGTGAACGACATGGGAACTTTTTCTCATGGGCGTACCGGAAGGAAAAATTTAGGGGGGCGGAAAGAAAATTGCCCGACTTTTTGTGATTGTTCCCAACTAGTACCGAAAAAAATTTTCCGGAAAAATTATTTTGGCGACAAGTACAATCACCTGGTGTTAGAAAAAAGAATTGAAACTATATTGCTCCACATTACATTGTTTACCTTCAATCTTTACCATCTCGCACATATCCATGAAGGAGGCACAAACATGTGCCTCAATCTCTCTACTGTGAAAATCCTTATATTCATTGTAATGACGATGGACTCCTTTTGCTGCATTGGTCTTGCCACACCTATTCATACTGGCTCTACTGGTACCAATCTTGCCAGCAGATTCTTCTTTTGTAAACATATCGAATTCTGTCCACAAACGCAGAGTGAAATTTATGATTAATTACTCTATCTAATGGGAGTAACACCAGGTTACATGTATTTCAGTCAATGGGTTTAAATACTGAATTTTTACGTTTGACTCATTATTACTAGAGCATTGCTTCACTGTAAAGATAGTTGTTCTCGTTTTAGATACCTTAATTGCCAATTAAATTGAATACATTTGAAAGTTGGACATGCGGTAATGAAGAATTAGCTACCATATTGAACAATTCGTAAACATTATACACTCTAAATGTCAACTTCCTGCATCAGGGGCGTAGGAACCGGGGGGGGCCAAGTTTTGCCAATTGCCCTTTTTCCGGGAGCAAAGAGCCCTTTTCTTGTGTGAAAAATGTCTTAAGGATTGCCTTTTGAATACCTGAATTTATGTTATTTTTGGGAAAATTTTTTCATTTCTGGGAAAATATGATGTGTCCGGAAAATTTTTTGGTATATCGGGAAAATTTTTTTCATATTTAGGAAAAAATGTGGTATATCCGGAAAATTGTTTTTGGTATGTACGGAAAAAAATTTTGAGACCTCCCCCCCCACCCCTCAAAGCCTGGGCCCCCAACTTTTAGAAGCTTCCTACGCCCCTGTCCTGCATGCATTCTTGAATCAGTGGAACATTCTAGTAAGCCACAAAAACTTCAACATCACCAACCTTGTACAGCGTTACTTTTGCATGCTCTGAAAGGAGTCCTTCTAATCTATCATATTCACTCTCCCCCATCTCTGAATGTCCACTTAACATTGCATCCACATTCCTCAAACAATTGGTCACCATGTACTGCTACTGTGGAAAGGAATATTTGTTCGTCATCCCAATTAAGGCATGGAACATAATTTGCCTGGTAACTTTTTAAGATCTGGGCCATTTCTGCTGCCACATTAGGGTTATGAAATTCCATACCAAGGGAACACTATAGGATATAAAACAAAGCATATATTCATTAACCCATTTAGTTCTTGGCCCCTTGAGGATTAAAATTGTGCAGCGTTAGATAGAGTGAAATAATAAAGTAGACTGCATTATGGCACACTGCAGTTTGATCCATTAAGTTGCAGAGCATCCCCATTGACGAGTAAAATCGTCTGGCGTTAGACAAGAAAAAAATATAAGTGGGGTGAATTGTGCATCAATAGGTTAACTAGAGACATTGTCTGTTTATTTGTTAATTAACCCATTAAGCTACAGAGCTTCCCCATTGATGAGTAAATTAAATTGTCTGCTGTTAGACAAATAAAAAAAATATGAGTAGGGTGCACAGTGGGGCGCATTGTGGCTAAATGGGTTAATGGCTGGGTTAATACATGTATACCAGACAGTGGCCGGGTTATAAATGTTCAAGTAAGATGCATCATATTAATAAATATGATTGGTGATAAGATTATGTATGGGTTGCCGATTCCAAATGCCTAATATATAAGCTTTGTGTCACATAATGTATCGTGTAAGACCACTTGAGGTAAAAGTTTAGGGAGATTGTTAACTTAAGTGACTTGAAATATATTCTTATAGGAAAAAATAATATAAATTGAGTCATCTGAAATGGCAATTTTCCTGCATTTTGGGTATAAGTTGTTGTATGATCCTATAAGTTGTCATTTATAAAGTAACTTAATAAAAAAGGTAAAGACGATATTTCCTGAATATTCTAAAAAAAATTGGGAGAATTTAATAAAAATTAGGAGAGCAGAAGTTTTCATGAATTTTTAGTAGATTCCCGGGGAGTTAAAAGGTTAGGATATATTCAACTGTGCATTATTCTCATTGATTTTCACATTGATTCCTTAAGACCTCTTACCATGTCAGATTTTACAGACATTTCATTTGAGAATTCATGTGGAATGTGCCAGATGACATCCTTTTGAAAGTTCTGGAAAGCGGGGATATACTTTGTCACTATTCTACTAACAAAAACTGCCCATTGGTGAACCATATTCTGCTGGACACCTCTATCAGGCAAAATAGCTGACAGTTGAAGATCATCAGGGTCTACTTGTGGTGATGAAGTTTCCAGGGTAGGATTAACAACTTTATCTCGTACAGCATACTGATGTGTCCAATGAATTGATAGGTTATTATGATCTTTAGTCTGAATTCATGCATAAACTTCATGATCGATGTTGTCTGATACAATTCTTAACAAAATAAATAATTCAGTTCAACATTACAAATTGTGTATGCCCAATTAGGGTGCAGATAAGGAGGGCATATTATTAATGAGTTGCAAAACCTTTAAACCTGTTTATTTATTCCCACACTCGGATACAGGGCATCTCGAAAAGGAGAAAACAAGCTGGAGTTTCAGCCAATTGAGTGGCACTCTCTCCCTGACAAGTAAGATCGTCTGGAATTAGACAGAGTAAAAAAGTAAATTAGGGCGTGTCAGGGCACATAGCACTTAAAGGGTGAATACAATAAAATAATTTTGTGTCAATTAGTGACTTTGCAATGTTTGAGCACTCTGGCAAAAATTAGGGGTGTAGGACTTTCCTTTGTCATTTTTTAAAACTCCCTGTTACCTAATGGTGACTGTGATTTACATTAGGATATAAACTTACTTGTATATTGGAAGTTTTGCATTTTGCAATTTTGCTTTCACTGCCATTAAAACATGATTCATTCAATGTGTCTTCACCCAAGCGTTGTCTTTCAGATTCCAGCAATGGTAATGTCCTGTCATACACTTCTGGAGTACAGTACTTTAACGCTTTTAAAGAATCCTCATCCAGGTTTAGAGTTGTGTCCAAATGCATATCATTGCTACGGTTTAACATCTTTCCCTCTATTTCCCTTACAAAAAGCAATGTAGAATTGTTCTCTTCTATCTCCTTTTTCCATTTTTTGGCTGCATAATCAAAGTTTTCACCCATTCTCTTGTGCAGATTTATGACGCTATCGGAAGACATGCAAATTCCCAACCGATTCAAATGTTGTACATCCACATGACTAATTCCACTGTGAAATAAAACTGTGGAAATTCTATAGGCAACTGCTGACATCGTCGGGTTAACAACCTTTGCAATAGCTGATGTAGGCAGAGCAATTGCATTCGTTGTCGCAATTTCATTGCAACTCGAAGATGCTTTGCAAGCGCATGTGACTACAGCATTATATATGGGACATTCCATTGACACTTCCTTGCAGAGGACCTTGTTTGAGTAGGCTGCGAGCTGGTCTGGTGTTGTAAATTTTAGACAACTATCAAAATTACTGTAACACATAAATTCACGTTTTGTTCAAACACTTCTCGTAACAATTCATCATGACGAAACAGCTTATCTACAGCTGTACTCCAATGGGAAAGACAAATATTGATGAGTAGCAATTTCACTTCTGGGTCAAAGTTACTCTTTACAACTACATGTCCTGAAGGATAGGCGATAACTACTTTTAATTGAGAATTCTTACTTGTGTCCAAATCGTCGATATTCAGTTTCGATAAAAGTGTGTCTTCATTGGATTGCTTATCCGCGTCTCTTTTACGATCGTGTTCGTTTGCACTGACAACAAATAGACTTTTTCTTCTTGATGATTTTGTATTTGGAGAGAATTGCCATGGATGTTTGTGAACAGGACTTGCTCTATTTGGTCTTATGGCTTCGGACACCTTTCTCTTTCCTGAATCTCTTGAAAATGTAGCCTGCACATCATGGTTGACTGCTGTCGAAACTAATTTATATGTACTAACCAGGTTTTGCAGTTTTCTTGCACACAGGCTGCAAGCTACTTGTGACGCTGATGGAGACTGTTCTATGTTTATTCCAACAGATTTCAATCTTTCCGCGATCACCTCCCCAAAACTTTCCTTTCTTTTACTTGGTTTAAATAAGTTTGTGTAGGATTTGAAAGACAATTGTGTTCCATACGTTAAATGTAAAGACGTCTTACACACTCGAAACATTCGTTTTGATAAGATTCCGATTTCGGACGTCCCCTTTGGGGATTTATGTTTTCTTTATCCGACATCCATATTTTAATATATTATTTCATTTTGACAATTAGTATAAAATTTGCAAACGTGAGCACTTAGCAGAGCAATCGATTATATATTTTATAATTCCAACAAGCAAATTTGCAAACATAAACAATGTCTGTGATTGGCCAATTTTGACATCACTTGAAAGTGGGCATAACCCGCAGGCGGGAATGGGAAAGCATGGGGTTTCGTGCAGGCTAGCCCACTGAGAGCCTGCTTCGCAGGCTAGCATTTGCCAATACAGCGACCGCATAGTTATTTTTTTCATTGGGGGGATAACGAATGCCGAAGGCGTGAGCCTTCTGGGGGTGTCCGGGGGAGCATGTTGTTTGAAATTTTGAAATCTGAGACCTATCAGAGCCCCATAAATGCAATAAAACCTGCTAGTTTCTCTTAAAAAGTTTCTTGAATGACACTTAAGCAAGGCATTATATCATTATATAAGAGTAAAATTATTTTCAAGGAAAATTTTTTCTTCGAAATTTAATGCCTTATTTAAGCGTAATTTAAATTGCATTTTCCATACTTATCGTCTTTACTTTTCTCAGAAATGTTTTTTTCTGGAAAGTGCGAGCCTACTAATACATAACAAGAAAATAATAAACGGAAACAAACAACGGTCCAGCATACTAATTTAGACTGAACTAATCTACAAAATTATGTGCAAGGAATAACATAACATATTTTAAAAAGTCTATGATAGTCCAAAGGAATTATAGTCCAAAAGTCTGACTAATTCTACTGGATTTCTTTAATTAAAGATTATTGTTGAGATTGTAACAGAGATCCTGCTCCGTAAATGAACCAAAGTTATGTTTTCTGTTGTCATTCTTGGACACAAATACATTGGATACATCCACTAACCGTATATTATCACTTCGTATTTTGTGGGTATTTAATATCGCCAGATGACTGAATCTCTTCTGTGACATATTTGCTCTAAGCCATGTTTTTATTCGTCATGCGGTTGAAAATTATCTTTCACCAGTTGCACTGGTTGCTGGATTAACCAATAGAAGTTTACAGATGGTGATTACTTCACTGATCATTTGCTGGGTATTGTAATCCAAATTTTTCACAGCATCTAAGACCTCAGCAAAATATTCTAGTTTTCTCTCCTTCATCAATACTTTGAAAATTTCCAGTTGTGGGATAAGAAACTCTACTTTTATATCCTGATGGTAAACCTCCTTTACACAGGCCATTTCATAAGAAATGTCTTCTGATTTCAAAGATTTTAGAAGAAGTGCTTCTAATTTCGCATAAGCTTTAAAACTGGGCTGGTCAAAACGTTCATTGATGGCCGATACAATCAGATCAAGAGCTTCATAATAGATTTTTCTGTACAAATCTTCCGACGTTTCAGTGTACCAAGGTTCTCTTCCCACTTCATATCTTGCAGGTGCCTTTCTCTTTCTTGGTACTTTGGGTTCCGAAATATCTTTCAAGGCCTCTTTCTTTTTCAAGATGGTTTGGAAGAAAGACTTGAAATATTCTTCATTTCGTATTCACTTCAATACCTCGGTTGTCAGCTTGGTATTATGTTGGCCGGAAATTGATGACATATTCGCCTTTTATAAAGTTGCTGACAAATTGTCTGTGTGCCTAAAAATTGTCACGCCAAGATGTAATCCAAAATAGAAGTCAAAAGACTTCATTTGGGTGCTACATCCTATAATTCGTCCACGAATATCTGGTTAAAGTTTTGTCTTGAGGCACTCGTCCCACAGCTTTAAAATAACGTTATAATTATCAATTACTCTCTCCAAACAGATTGCTCGAACCGTCCACCTAGTCATACTGAATTTTGTAAGTCCAGCAGCTGCCGCGTCTTCCTCCTCGTCCTCGTATTGAAGGTTTTCCTTCAGCTCTCCAAGTAAATTTTCTCGTTTGGGAGAATACTTTACGAGTTTAACAATCTCATTCGTATTCATGGTGTTAGATAAGAGATGACAATTATTTGTTGCATCTTTTACACCTAAGCTCAGGGAGTAACCGTGACAATGTGTGGGAAGAGCCTTTGCTTCACACTCCTGAATTTGTTTTGCCACACCAGATTTTTTACCAAGCATGTTGCTGGCACCATCGTAGCACTGCCCCCTGCACTGGGACAAAGACAACTGCAGTCGAATGAGGCTATCTTTGATTGCCTGGACAATGGTTTCAGATGCGATGTTTGGTATATTGTAAAATCCAAGAAAGTCTTCATGACCATCAAGTTGTCCATCAACCCACTGAAAACATAAAGTTAGTTGCTCCTTATTACCAATATCTGTGTATTCGTCAGCTATTATGGAAAAGAATCCTGTTCCAATATCCTTTATGAGGTCCTGTTGAACCTCATGTGCCATAATTTCAATGATTTCATTTTGTATATCATGGCTCGTATATTTATCACTGCTTCGTTTCTTAAGCAACTCGAGTAACACAGGATCGTCCCGTCCCCAAAGTTTCATCAATTGATAAAAGTTCGACTCAGTATCAGTGTTTCCTTGTATAGCTTGTCCTTGCCGGCACAAAGACTGCAAGTTTTCAATTATTTTCAATAAGCAGCAGCAATTGGTCTGTCTTAGTTTCTTGTTCTGTTCATTTGTCATATCGATAACATTGCCACAGTTCGTTGGGAAATTAACTGCATAATCAATCGCCATCTTGTGACATTCTGAAGATTCGTGTTGCTTGAATTTATCAAGGGACTTTTTCCAGTTACAAAACCCATCTGAGATAAACTTTTGATCTTTTTTTACTAGCACACCTTAAGTTTCCCTTAGCGTTTTGCTGAGCGCAATAAAAACAAAGGACCAAGTCAAGCTGTTCATCATAGTGCAGCCAAGAAAATATATCAAACCATGCCGCCTAAAAAGAACAATTCTGTCCAGAAAATTTCCTTTTAGGAAACTCAAAGTTTTTTGGTTGGTGAAGGTTCATATAGGATGATATATTTGTTGTCTTGCAAGGGTCGATGTGTATTACTGCTTGTGGCTCATGCACTTTGGACAAAGTTGAGCTCACAACTGTTGGCACTCGATGGTGTTCTGGAGAAACCTGTGGACTGGACACGGCTTGGTAGCCTTGGTAGACATCACTTGTACGAGTTGGAGTTCTAGTTATTTGGGCGACAGACTGGGAGACGCAGGCCTGTGCAGGATCATAGTAAATCGTTCTTTCATTTCCTGAAATGATAGGATTTGACACGTTTTTACAAATGACGTTGACACTAACATGCTGTAAGCAAGGTGTCGATAAAGCCGGTTTATGAAACCGCAACGCATGCATGCAGTTATGTATACGCATTGCAATATACCCGACTGTATGCCATAGTAATATATATGTTTGGGTACCACTTAATATGAGTAATTTTTAGTCAAAATAAGATGTATACATACCACCTGGCGCAGCTGAAAAATAATCTGAAATGGTTTTAGCCTTCTTTTTCACTGTTGTTCGCCTCTCCTTTGGCTGTTTTGAGCTTCCAGTTCCTTCCATATTTCCATAGATCATATGCGCTTCTTGATTGGTAATAATCGAAGGATTGTACGAACCTGGGCGACCAGAACTGTAAACAATTCATCGCTTCAGATACTTTTCTCTGTATCTCCAAATATATATACAAACAGGAACTGAGTGTTCAATAACCTGCATTCTTTTTGTGAGAATTTTGTTTGGAGGTAATTCAGGTTCCAAAGGCAAAGAATAATCAACAACAAGCAAACAGTAAGTTAGATCGACGCTTAGCAGTTTTAACGCCAACATTTTGTTTGGAACCGAAGCAAAACATGTGTATTCACAGTGTTTCTGAAGTGATATGGAATTTCAACAGTTATTTGAAACCAAGTGTGACACCTTGGATAATGCTAGGATATGCTCTGAATTTTAAATAAGTGGTCAAATGCAATTAACACCTCTTGACATTATTGCATCATCAAGGTTGAGACCTGTTGTTTGTAACTATGTTTCACTGGTTGGAAATGGCATCTGTAATTTTGAAACACGCAAATCAGACATTTAATATTTTTCTGGACTACGCAAATAAAAGTGCTATCTGCGCTATATTAAAATCAGATATGTATGAAAAATTATTGGGGGGGGCTAAATCCCCCCAGCCCCCCTGCTCCGCGGTCCCTGCAAAACATTGCGTGTTCTAAAGGTCAAATTACATCTGCAGCGTGATTTGCACATGCTTCGGGCTATGGGTACTCCTTACTCGCCAATTTTAGCGCATGACACACACATGCAAGACTACTCACCGTATTCAAATGAAACTTTTGACATAAATAAAAATCTTTCCCAGGAAATATGGATTTTTATGTCATGCCTGGATTAACACAATTAGATAACATAATAGCTTTATTCACTCAAGGGCCTGAATCCGGGTTTTTCCATTAATTTAGTTTATTGTACGATCATCCAGATTAAATTTTTTTAAAGTATTAAAAAAATTTAATCTGGATGATCGTACAATAAACTAAATAGTGGCTTTATCTTAATCTATGGCGCGCCGGTTGAAGAGGCAGGAAATTTCAGTGCCTAAAACTATGTAACAGTGCCAAGATCATGGTCAGGTTCTTGGCATGTAAACGAAGATATAGCACAAGTAATTTCATAAGTCCACACGACTTGTATCAGAGCGACAAACTTGAACTTATTCTTCGACTTCTTCCTGCGTACTTTGTCAGGTTAGTATATCTTTCATTTAAAGTGATGATAAGAGTCAATTTTTATTTGTTATGGCTTTGTCTCGCCCCAAAGTTCTTGTTTTTGGTCATTCTTTTGTCAGGCACCTGCATCGGGATTTGACGACTCAATTTGATATGCGGGCTGCCTTAAATTTTAATTTACCTGATGTCTCCATTAAGGTTACATTATATGATGAAAACGCTGATTTCATCATTTTCTACATTTTTATTGATTTATATTCAGGGGCTGGATATCTCTCGATTGCCGCAAGTTGTTTTTTTTCAAAAATATTAAAATGCGTCCGAAATACAGCAAAAAATGTTATAACCACTGATTCTTTTGCCGCGAAAGTTATAATTGTAATTGACAATATGTGGATAGATATGATACTCGATACCGGATGTGTGACCTTCAACCTCCTTTGTGTCTTCGTGGTGCATGACAGATCTTCTACTGCATTTTTGCTTAGCCGATTTAGATCTGTCTGTTTTGCTATCCCCTTTTTACATTTGCGTTTTGCCGGCATATGAGCAAGTTTTTTGTGTGGTTTCTCGCATGTACGGCTTGTGATAAACTGATGAGTGAATGACACCTAAAACCCTTGCGAAAACACACTTTACTAATTTTAATCCGATTACAGTTCGAGGTGATAACAGAGAGCGGAAAAACCCCGCCAAATCGAATATCGTTTTTTACGGAGATTGAAATATTCTTAGATTGTCCCCACAAAAATAGTTTAGAAATGCGCATGTTTTATCCGATTCCCTCCAAACTTTGCCACAATGTCGAACAATGGTGCAGGAGCAAAACCGTGTTCGTGTTTTTTATTTAGTGCCATACTTTTCAAGTTCCCAAAATTTAGATGAGTCAACTTGTATGCTTTATATCAAAGCAAATACAATACCTGTCAAAAAACAGATGAGTCAACTTGTATGCTTTATATCAAAGCAAATACAATACCTGTCAAAAAACGCGAACACGGTTTTGTTCTTTGATCATTTGAGATGGGAAATATTATGTTTCGGAAGCCTTTGAGTTAAATAAGAAGCGTTCTAATCTCTTGGTGCAAAGGCCATCATATATTCAAAAGCAACCCGTAGCAAGTACAGTTTTTAAAGATGCAGAATTTTTGGCAAATCGTTAGCTACAGCAATGATTTATCATTATGCATGCAAAATGTGAAGAGGAAAACTTGAAAATTGAGCGCACGGTGAGCATTTTGGTGAAATGGGTTTCCATCATGTGGAGTAACCTTAAACTACATGGTATTGGGGGACGGACGGTGGACAAGCTCGTGAAATACGATCTTGGATACGTTCAGAAGTTCCAACCCAACATAGTGATTTTAGATGTTGGGACCAATGATTTGCCTTTAATGAAACCCGAAACTGTAGGTTCCAAAATAGATGACTTGGTTCATTTATTGCTTGGGGTAACTTCTGTCCGAGTTATAGGGGTTTGCTTGGTATCTGATCGAGCCTCCTCCCCTGAGTTTAACGCAAAAGTTAGGATTCCAATTATGTTATTATCAATCACACTTCGCTGTGATTTTATTTGAGGCTTCGCTCTCAGTCCATATGTTGTCACCAATCGCACTTCGCTGCGATTTTAGTTGAGGCTTCGCCCACACTGTATCTATATGTGTTAATATTTGACCAATTTGTCATATGTCTTTTGCTTTAAGTACAAAATTTAGGCTCAGTGGTGCGGTCACCTTCGTGTGGCCAGGCTTGATCCAACCAATTTAAACTTTTACGATTTATTGATTCTCATATGCATGCGACTAAATCTTTAGCATGGCTCTGTTCTAATAGTTTTTAAAGTCATTTCTTTCACAACCACAACACACGTTCGAAACGCACAGCCACAACTTCTGTGCCCAATCAGC